GACAACACTCGAATATTCAACGCGTCCTGAATATTTTCATTGAAAAATCGAAGAAATAATCCGCGGCGACGTCAGAGGTCCAGCGAACCGGCTCGGGGCCCGCAGATGGGGCCCGGTGATGACGTGATATTATGCAAATGCAGTGGAAATTTCTAATCGGTACGGCCATATGGCCCATGTACGGAAAAATCCGGCCGGCGGAAGAGGATCCACGGCCGCCATAAATATTCATCGGGCCCGCGCGCGTGCATGCGGCGGCTGTAAACAAACTATCGAGCAGGAAAGCATCGCGCGGATCGACTTTCGTCGCCGAGAACGCCCTAATCTGACCGATCTGCGGCTCAAAAAAAGAAGAAACGGAAAGAGAAGGCTAAAATAAAGGCGAAAGAGAGTACATTAAGCCTCGGAGCCACGGTGACCGTCGCGACCGGGCCCACGGACCCCGAGCGAGCGCACGAATTCCCGCAGAAACGGGTCCGCTTAATTCGCCTAATCGTGGCGCATAGTCGAGAGCGAAAGAGAACGACAGCGCGTTCTGATTCACCGGCCCGTCGTTTTTCAAGAATTGCACGCAACATGAATACAGATCAGAACGACGTTGTCAGATATCGTTTCTTTTTTTTCTTATCTTTTCGGCGAAACGAGAGGGCGTCGATGAGCATAAATTATGCGGAGCGGAACAGTGATCGGAGCGAGAAGAGCTGGAAAGTCGTGCCGAAACGGCCAAGGTCGGGTCAAAGTCTGCAAGAAAAGGAACGAAAAAGCGGCGCGGCGAGGGCGACGACTCGCGTCGTCGTTCACGGATCTAGTCCAGATCCGCGGATGATTTAGCATTCTTCTCGTCGCGGGGCAATTTTTGCCGAGTGTCGGCGTCCTTGGGAACATCGCGGAAACGGTCCTTGACGTCGGGTTCGACCGGTTCGCGGCTATTTTCGTCTAGCCGCGGGTTTTCTAATGGTTCGCGAAGTCGTCGAGCACGTTCGTTAGCCGACCCATTCGCAAATAAAACAAATTTGCTGGAAGCGGTAACGAGATTGAAGAGAAATAGTCGTTTTGCAGCGACTAGATTCTATTCGGTCGTTACGAAAGTGGTTTTCCAAATAGACAGCTTGGAAAAAGCCACGAAATTGCTTTCGCAACGGGCCGGTATCAATAAATAATCGAGTACGCGCGGTCGCTGTAATTAGCTGCGCTCGGAAAAGTCGCGGTCACCGTGCGTTCCTTCGAGAGTCACCTGGTTCGAGCGGTGACGTCACGGCCGAGCAGTTCGCCGGAGCGAGGCTAGGTGGCGGTAGACGCGCCGGCCGTGCTCTCGCGATCTCTGATTGGACGCGGCGTTGGGCCGCGCTCCGCTCGGCTGCCCCCACTATGTCGACCGCGCTCCGCTCGGCTGTCCCCACTCTGTTCGGCTGCCCCCACTCCACTCGACCGCTTACCCGTGACGCCATCGCTGGACGTCACGTGACACTCTAGAAAATTCGGCAGCCGACAGCTGACCAGTTAAAATCGGCGTTCGAATTGCTTTTCCTTTTATTTTTCAACAAGAAAGCGATCCGCGATGCTGGACGCGATGCTTGAACGCGATTAGTCTCGCAAAGACAGCGGCGAGAATGACTCGGCAATGGAATAATTGAATGCGAATAGATTTTACTGCGTACACCTGTCCGCTTCCCGTCGCTTTGTTTATACTTGCAATTAAACCGCGCGGCGTTAAACGCCGCGTTTTATTAACCTCGGCTCGGGGATTTACTACGGAGACGCTCGCCGCGAATAAAGGATCCTTAGAACCTCGGCCACGGCGAAGCTAACTTGATTGTGCAATTAGCGCCGTCCCAAAGGAGCATTGTTTTCCGGGAACGTGTTTGATGAGACATCTGTTCGTTTTTCCCTAGCCGAGACCGCGGACGCAGTTGGATAAAAAGAAATCCTGCCGGAAAGGCTGTCGTGAAAATACTCGAGTCGCGTGCGCCCGGAGCGTCGACCAACAATGCTGAATAAATGTCGGCTGTTTCGCGAGATAATGAGTTTGTTGACGGCGGATTGTCCGCAGAAGATTGTCGTACCACCGACAGATTACTCCAGAAACAAACAGATCAGTCGGCAAAGACACGACGAAATTGTTATTATTATTTAATTGGGTAGGCGTTTCCCTGCGTATATTGACATGTAACGAGTGTCCTCGATGGACGGTCGTATGCGTGTGTCACGCTGGATCGTATAATGTTCGATGCGGCAGCCTCCGACCGCCGATCGCTGACGTATTTTTATGGAGGGAACGTGTAATTAAACAGCGCGAGGAAACCTTGCCAGTTCACGGGGAAATTTCCTCGCGAATGATCTCGCGTCGTGGCGAAACAATTTCTACGACTTTTCTCAATTTTTCTCGATTTTTTAGGATTTTCACGATCTTCCAGAATTTTCCTGAGTTTCCACTGCTTTCCACGATTTTCCTTTTTTACAATGTCCACGATTTTCCAGAATTTTCCAGAGTTTCCACTACTTTCCACGATTTTCCACGATTCTTTCCACAGAGTTTCCTTTCCCACGATTCTTTCCACAGAGTTTCCTTTCCCACGATTTCCACGATTTTCCAAAATTTCCACGATTTTAAAGAACTTTTCAGTTTTTACTTTTTTCCAGTTACCACTTTCATGATTTTTCTCTTCTGCGATTTTCCAAGACCTTCCGTGAATTTCCACAATTTTCCAAGATTTTCTACGATTTATATCTCACAGAGTAGTGTGCCAGTTACAATTTGTGACGAATTGCTGTACCTTTCGTTTATTTTCATGTATAATTAACCACATATTTAGTTATTAAATCTTTTTATACTTTTATTTCGTTTATTTTTCAGTAAAAAAGATGTAAATTTTTATTTATGAGAGAAACTTGTGAGAGAAAGGAAATCGTGGAAAATAGTGGAAACTGTGGAAAAATCGGAAGAATCATGGAAAGTAGTGGTAACTATAAAAAATCCGGGAAAATCGTGAAAAATCGTGTAAAATGAAAATCATGAAAAATCGTGGAAAATAGTGAAAACTGGAAAATTGTGGAAACTGTAAAAAATTCTGGAAAATCATGGAAAGTAGTGAAAACTAGAAAACTATGAAAACTGCGAAAAATTTTAGAAAATCGTGGAAAAGGAAAATTGTGTAAAATAGTGGAAGCTATGGAAAATCCTGGAAAATCCTGAAAACACGTGGAAATCGTAGAAACTCGTGAAAAATCGTAGAAAATCGTGAAAAATCGTAGAAAATCGTGAAAAATCGTAGAAAATCGCGAAAAATCGTAGAAAATCGTGAAAAATCGTAGTAAATCGTAAAAGTCCTAGGAAATCATAAAAAATTGTAGAAAATCATATTCAATGTAATTGAGGAAGTGCCAATTAAACTGAATTGACCAGATGTAATGGGGATAAAACGGGTGGACAAACCAGTCGTCATTCGGGCAACGAGTTTAAGGTCTCGGAAGCATTGAACGCTACAAGCAGCATTTGGCCTTAAGGTCACTATAGCGTAAGTACGTTGAAAGTATATATTTTAAAGTTCCGCTGCAGGCGGTGTATCTCGGTAGGTCGTAGTCCCTGGTTTAATCGTAAGTCGGCGTCGATGTCTCNAAATCGTAGAAAATCGTGAAAAATCGTAGAAAATCGTGAAAAATCGTAGAAAATCGCGAAAAATCGTAGAAAATCGTGAAAAATCGTAGTAAATCGTAAAAGTCCTAGGAAATCATAAAAAATTGTAGAAAATCATATTCAATGTAATTGAGGAAGTGCCAATTAAACTGAATTGACCAGATGTAATGGGGATAAAACGGGTGGACAAACCAGTCGTCATTCGGGCAACGAGTTTAAGGTCTCGGAAGCATTGAACGCTACAAGCAGCATTTGGCCTTAAGGTCACTATAGCGTAAGTACGTTGAAAGTATATATTTTAAAGTTCCGCTGCAGGCGGTGTATCTCGGTAGGTCGTAGTCCCTGGTTTAATCGTAAGTCGGCGTCGATGTCTCGTCGTCCTTGGACGTAACCATAAGTGGGCTTTGTGATTATATACAATTCCGCCCGCATTTTCTTGCACTTATTTGATGTGACGGCTGTTTCGCACTGCAGGCCATCGAGTAATTTAAGGCACCATCGTTGTCGATTACAATACTCGATTTCAGCATAATTTCGAAATTGAATTGTCACGTTGACGCTATTGTTAATCGATATTAAGGTGCATAATTCTTCAAGATAAATTAGGATATTTTTTCTTTATTTACCGTTTTCTTTTCTCTGGCTTTCTTTCTTATCTAAATTTTTCTTTGTAACATTATTTCGTTGGGAACAAGAAGCGATAATTATAATTATTGATTCATTACACAAATAATTGCTGAACCGTGAATCTCTATGCAAAATAAAAATGGCAATTATATTTATCGTGTAATTGATAAAACAAAATGGCCAATTACATTTATTTGTTAGTCACGCAAATCTATTTCTGCTTGTTCGCATCGAACTTGCGTTGCTGTTTACTTGCCGCAACCATGGTTGCAAAAATATTTCGGAAGTAATGATTATTATTCAACGATTACCACTGCAAACATCATCACAGTAATTAGCAACGTAGCTTGTTTGCCGGATAAATTACGATAACACGGGTCATCGGCCGCCAATGTTAAATGGTGCATGCGTCAAATACGTGTAAAATAATAATTGGAGAATAAATAAAATGATAAATAATTATTAGTGAAGCCAGAATTAATTATTTAAGAAATAATTCGAGAAGCTAAATAATTCTTTAGAAAATAATTGGAGAATCTAAATGGTTATTTAAAAAATAATTTGAGAAGCTAGATAATAAGTTAACAAATAACTCAAGACACTAAATAACAATCAGAAAAGCTAGATAATTATTTATGAAATAATTCGAGAAGCTAAATAATTCTTTAGAAAATAATTGGAGAATCTAAATGGTTATTTAAAAAATAATTAGAGAAGCTAACTAATAATTTAAAAAATAATTCAAGACGCTAAATAAGAATCAGAGAAGCTAGTTAATTATTTAGGAAATAATTCTAGAAGCTGAACAATTATTTAGAAGATAATTAGAGAATCGTTTGAAAGATAATTCCACAAAAAAATCGACAAAAAGCGTCACGATCCCAATGATCAAGAAAGCGGAGAGCACCGAAGCAATCTCGATCCGATCTACCCCGAGGATCTCTAGATCCACGAGCACCGTTCCAACGACCTTTGATCGCTGCGGCCGAGTGGCCGTGCAATTGTTACTGGTTATCCCCGACTTTTCCACCTGAGCACAGTGATCTTTCTCACCCGTGGTGGGGGGAGAGGAGGACGCCGCGGTCCAGCTCCCCCATTGGCGAACGCTCCACGTGCTGGTCACGGGCGGGCCCGGGTGGGGGCAGCCTGCAATGTCTCTAACACAATTTTTGAACTTCCACCGACCCGAGTTTTCATCACTTTTGCACAGAAGCGCACGCGGCACGCACCTGTCCGGTCGCGGACTCCTTCAACTCTGCGTGAGAACCCAAGCTGTCTTTTTGCGATCGAGAGTCGCCTTACGAAAAATCGTCCGCGGGGAAAAGTCTGTGGAAAATCGGATTCCGGGAAAGTCTGTGGAAAATCGTCTGTGAAAGATCGTTTTTGAAATATCGTCTTCGGAGGGACGCCGTTCGAAAATCGTCTCGGATCAATCGTGTACCGAAATATCGTCTTTGATTAATCGTCCGCGGAAAATCGGACTGCAATAATCGTTCACGGAAAATAGTCTCGGAAAATCGCCTTTGGAAAATCATCTTTGGATCGTCGTCTTTGAGTAATCGTCTCTGGACTGTCAGCTTTGGAAAATCGTGTTCGGAAAATCGTATTTGGAAAATCGTCTCCGGAAAATTGTCTTTGGAAAATCATCTTTGGACTGTCGTTTTTTAATCATCGTCTCTGGACTGTCAGCTTTGGAAAAACGTGTTCGGAAAATCGTTTTTGGAAAATTATTTTTGGACTGTCGTCTTTGAAAAATCGTCTCTGGACTATCACCTTTAGAAAAGCATCTTTGAAAAATCGTGTTTGTAAAATCCTCTTCGGAAAATCGTGTTCGGAAAATTGCCTTCGGAAGATCTTCATTGGAAAATCGCCTTCGGAAAATTTCCTTCGGAAGATCCTCTTTGGAAAATCGCCTTCGGAAAATCGCTTTTAGAAAATTATCTTCGGAAAATCCTCTTTGGAAAATCGCCTTCAGAAAATCGCCTTCGGAAAATCGCCTTCATAAAATCAGTCGAAAAATCAACCTTAAAGTGCACTCGGAAACGTCGCCGCTGGAACCGAAGAGCCTGTGATCGAAGGGTCGCGTGTCCAGATCTTTGACATTTGACACCGAGTGAAGTGTACGGGTCAAAATGAAGGACTTCATGATGATATGGAACAGGATCGCCGGCCGCCGGTACTCGGCCGTCAATACGCAAACAAACGGGACGACGAACCAGAGCCAGAGCGACTCGAGCGAGTCCGAGGAGACGGCGATGACGATCGGCCAAAAGACGAGCACCATCAGGAGAAAGTCGTCGCTGGTCGTGAACCGTCTGTTCAACGCGGCGTTGTCCCCGGTCCACTCGACCGCCGGCACAGCGAAGCAACAGAGAAGTAAGTAAATGATTGATCGCTGTTTGCAGGGCTGCCCCATGCTGTTTTATGGTTTTTGGAACGCCTCGGGATGCGTTGCTTGGTATCGCCGCGGCGGGTATTACAAATTGTTCTCGGATCAGCGTACGTTGCTGGAAGTTACGAGAATGTTCGCGCTGACGAGCTTCTCTCGGCGATTGTGATTTATGTTGTAACGTGACGGTCGCGCGATTGCGTCTGCTTCGTGAGACTTCGTCGAATGGTTTTCTTGATTAAAACGATTTGGTTCTTCGCGATTGAATTCCTTTATTTTTATTCGAGTTAACTTGATCCTTAACGAATTGATTTAATTGCTCGTGGTCAGATTCATTTAATTGCTCGTGGTCAAATTGTATTAATTGTTCACAGTCAATTTAATTATTCCTGCAATAAAATTTGTTTAATTTTTCATAGTTGGATTAATTCAATTTTGTATAGTCGAATTAATTGAATTCTTCGCGGTCAAATTGATTTAATTGTTCACAGTCAAATTAATTCAATTTTTCATGGTCAAATTGACTTAATTATTCACACTTAAATTAATTCAATTTTTCATGGTCAAATTGACTTAATTATTTACACTTAAATTAATTCAATTTTTCATGGTCAAATTGACTTAATTATTCACAGTCAAATTAAGTCAATTCTTCACATTCAAATTAATTGAACTTTTTACGATCAAATTAATTGAATTCTTCAAAGTCAAATTTAATCAATTCTTCACATTCGAATTAATTAATTGAACCTTTTACATTCAAATTAATTGAACCTTTTACATTCAAATTAATTGAACTTTTTACAATCAAATTAATTGAATTCTTCACATCCAAATTAATTCAATTCTTCGCAATAAAATTCATTCAATTCTTCACATTCAAATTAATTGAACTTTTTACATTCAAATCAATTGAACTTTTCACAGTCAAAATAATTGAATCCTCCACAGTCAAAAGAATTGAATTCCACGATGCCAAATTAATTCAATTCTTCGCAACAAAATCCATTCAATTCTTCCCCATAAAATTAATTGAATTCGCCCACAAACAGAATTAATTCAATTCTTCACAATCAAAAATCTAATCACCCCCCCCCTCAAAAAAAGAATATATAAACAACTCCAACCATCGTTCGACAAAAATGATTTGAATGGTCGTTTCCCACGAAAAATCATCAATTACGATAATTGTGCAACGAGAGACATAAAATCACCATAAACAATTACCGCGGCGGGCACGGCCGCGAGACATAAATTTTTATAATAAAATGCAGCCAGAATGAAACGTTGTTTACTGGGTCAAGTGCAGGCCCTGGGTGAATGTGAAACCGACAGCTAACGGAGAGCCCGATGGCAGGACCTTGTTCCCCGGGGGTCGCCCAAAGTTTTGTTAAGATGCTCGCAACGATCGCGGCCGCGCCGCGCCGTTCGCGACACAACGAAGAGAAAGCAAAGGACAACGTAACGCGACCGCGGGCGGCTCCTATGGTCGTTGTACCATCGCTGGTTAAGTCACACGTGACAGCGTAACACGCGCTCGCGCGGTTCCACAGGTTTAATTATAACGCGAAAAGCACCGCGAAGAACAAGTTTTCCCAGCGGACGACAAGTTCAAGTTTATTGTCGATCGTGACTTGATCTCACGTGGAATCCATCGTTCGCCCGGTTTATCGGCCGATCGATCATAATCGTGCGCATTCTAATCGCCACTTCGGAAATCAGCTTCCGCCGTTAAAATAGCATTCTTTCGTGTAATTCTTTTTTGCTGTTAAATTGATTTCGATTTAGCGCCGTTGGAAAGGAATATATTTTTAGGAAATAAATAACTAAATTCAGAGAAAGAAATACATAAACTTAAAAAAGTAAATAAATTTCAAAAAATGGAACACAAATTTAATATAATAAATAAATGAACTTAACGAAGTAAATAAATAAATTTAGCAAACCAAATGAATAAATTGAGCGAACTAAGTGAATAAGTTTCTAAAATT